GGGGGAAAAACCCCCGGCAAACCTACGGGGCTGGGGGGAAGCCAGCACGTCGGGCAGGGGGAGCAGCGTATTTCGGGCAGCAGCACAGCCAGGGGGTCTCGCTGCCCACTCGCCTTGCAGCCACCACGGCGCCTGCTCAGGGCGGGATGGAAGTGCTTTATTTGCTTTTTTTTTTTTCCCTGGTGTGCCTGAACGCAGGGCTGGGAAGAGCCTTGGGGTGGGGGGAAAAGAAACCATAAAGCAAATAACCAAGAGGTGCCGACATCTCTTGGAGGACCGACCCCACTCAGAGTCGAGTGTCCCTCCCTGCAGGGACAGGCTCCCAGGTGGGTTTTGGTGCTTCAAAAAAACCCCTTTGGACCTGACTCCTGGGGAAGGATCCTGATTTTTGCGTCTCACCGCAGCGCAGGATAGGGCAGGGTCCGGCCACAGGATACGGGGACGGCAACAGCACATGAAAATCCTCTTAAGCCTCTTGCTGCTGCTGCAGGGAACCAGCAGCAGCCCGTTGTTTTTACCTCCCTGGCGGTGATAGCTATCGAGAAGGCAGACCGCTACTTTTCCGGCCATTAAAACAAGCGGCTGGATATCCTGATAGGGTTTGCATGGAGCAAGGCTGAGTCTAGACCAAACCTTCGCCTGGAAAAGAGATTCAACACCCGCCCATGTCCAGGCAGGGAGACGGTGCGGCTGCCGGGACGAGGGCTTTCATGGCCCACCCCGACGAGGCTTGCACTGGCCCTCCTTGGCTTCTTCCAGCAATTCCCATCCAGCCTCAGCTGAAAGTCCACCGATGTCCAGTGCTGGGGGACTCTGGGGAGCTGCTGGATGGCTCATTAATCAGCCCCACGTACTAATTAGTGGCAATGGCTCCCATTGAGAGGCAGGTTGCTGCTCAGGTGGGACCCTGGAGAGGAAGGGTGCAGCCCAGAGACCCCAAAGTTTGAAGCCACCTCGCTGGTCAGCCCTGGGGCTTGCAAATCAGAGAAATAGGAGGTACAATCTGCTTTTCCTGGTGGCCTGTCCGGGCTTCTCCAGACCTTTTCAACAAGCCAGGAACCACATTCAGCTTCCACTGACTCATCCCTTCTTCCTCCCAGACCTGGCCATGGCCACTGGCTCCTGCTCGGGGCTACCCCTTGTCCAAATGGAAAATAATGAGTGTGGGCCCAAACGCCAGAGGAGATGACGTGGCCCCAAAATCTGATCTGCCAAGGACAGATCAGGATTCAACATCTCTCCCTAAGCCCTACCTGCCTTGTAAAAGGGCAGCTTAATCCCCCGCCTCTCTCTGAGGTGCAGCCAAGCACAGCAGATGTAATTAGTGCTGAGTGCTAACAGGCTCACCTTGAAGTAGTTTGCCTGTTGCTACTGCCTCTCTGGCTGTCCCCTCCTGTCCCTGGCTCCTGCTGGGTTGCTACCCAGCTGCCAGCATCCCTATGGATGTATTTTGGGATGGTCAGCCCCGCCTTTGCAGAGCAGAGATTTC